TAAACCAAATCAAACCTGTTGCCATTGAGTTAATTCCAACTCATAGCAATCCTATAGGACAGAATAGAACTGCTACAAAGGGTTTGCAAGGCTGAGATCTTTACAGTTGCAAACTGCCTCATCTTCATCCCATGAACCAGATCGTGGGTTCAAACCATTGACCTTATGGTTAGCAGCCCAGCAGTTCAACTGCTGGATCACCAGGGCCCCTATCCATTTTACTAGAGGAGGAAATAGAAGTTTAGGGATTAGGTAATTTACCCAAGATCACACACACAAGTTGGCAAATCCTCAGTGCAGATTTGAAACAGGCAGTCAGATTCCAAAGCCTTAATGTCTATGCTAAACTGTGTACATTACTGGCTGGGAGAGGAGTTAAAAAGGTGTAGAATTTACTATTGCATAGTTTGCTTTTCCAAATAAGTTCACAAATTTATTGTGGAGTCTCAGGAACATAGGATTGAATTAATTATGCTTCTTTTTTTAAAGTTCCTGTTGTGAATTGGTGACAGTTTACAGAGAATATGTTTTCCATTCAATGAATTAGTCCTAATTCTTGATTCATGACACTTTTCTCATCATTTCTTTCTCCAAGAATTTATTCACTACTGTTCAGAAGAGAGTGAATCACTTTTGAGAGTTAATTTTTGAGCCAGGATTCTCAGTGGTTTGGCAGTTGATGATCCGCTATGATGCAACAAGCCAATAAAAGGATTAAGGATGGCGCAGTGGTGGTTATGTGCCATGGAGTCGGTTCTGACTCATAGTGACCCTGCATAGGATTTCCAAGGCTGTAAATCTTTACAGGTGCAGAAAGCCTCATCTTCCTCCTGCAAAATGGTTGGTAGTTTCAAACTGCTGACCTTGAGGTTAGCAGCCCAACCCTTAATCCCATAATGACCCTGATCATGGAGCTTCCCAGGGGTGTGGCCTGCAATATCTTTTATCTTATTAGAGATAAAAGGTGAGAAGTGAGCAGAGAAGGGGACCTACTACCACCCAGAAAGATGGTCCATCACTGGAGTATGTTCTTTGGACTTAGGGTCCCTGCATTGTGTAGCTCCTAGATCCAGAGAAAGATTGATGCCAACACACATGGAAATCTCTAAGGACTGCTGGGCCTACAGATGCTGCCAGGAGACAGAGACATGGTCCCATAGTCACTGCTCTGGATTTGGACTTCTAGCCTCCAAAGTGTGAGAGACTACATTTCTGTTTGTTAAAGTTATCTACTTGTGTATCCACTATTGTAGCAGCACTGGATAACTAAGACAAGGATTAAATTTCACTGTGGTATTTATACCAAGAGTCCTGGTGTGGTGCTTCAGGATAATGCATTGAACCACAGGTCGATTTGAACTACAAAGTCGGCGGTTCAAATGCAACAGTTGCTCCTCAGAAACCCTATGTATACAAGCCCCTTATGAGTCAGAACCAACTCAACGGCACTTAACATCAACAACAACATTTATACCTAGAGGCAGTAACAAGAAAGACAGTAAAACAAAACAAAAACACAAATGAACTTGCCTTATACTAGTCTTAGCCCATCATCGGAAGAATTAATAATTTAAATAGATTTTCCCACTTATGAAATCATATGAAACTGGCCTCTTTTAGAAATAATTTCTCATTACTTTTTTAAAACTGTTTTATTGTGAATTATGTGATAGTTTACATGAGAGAACATTATATTCATCCTATCGTATAGCGTTACATTGGCATGGTTACAATCCCCTCCATGCATCATCAAACAACCAAAGAGTATACCCTGCAAGCCCACCCTCGCTCATCATTCGTCAGAACACAGTCCCTCTCCCTCTCTGTGCCTAGAGTCCCCAGCTTCTCCATCTCTCCACATCATCGTCTCTGCCTCCATTTCTGGCGTCACTGTTTCACTGGGTAGGTTCCTGCACTCTGCTCTTCTCTCTTGATGGTCTCAGGGGCCTCCGCTCCCGGACTGCAAAGTCAACCACTCCCCTCCTTTTGCTACAAAACATCTACCTTTACATTTCCAAGCCTCACAGTTAGTCCTGATAGTAATTATTCACTATTGTACCACATGAGTGCTATCCCCATCTCCTTTCATCAGCCCCACCCAGACAGATTGGATACTACTCAGTGGAGATCTCATTACTTTTCAGTCAGAGAAATCCCTTACCCATACACACATACACACACACACACATACAATATAGATTTGTCTATCCTAAGATTGCAATATTCACAGTCAAAACAATCTCCCATAGTTCTCCCTCTAAGGAGCCCAAGTGGTGCTTTTGGATACTCACTGGACTGCTAACCACAAGGTGGGCAGTTCAAGCCCAACAGCTGCTCCTCAGGAGAAAGATGAGGCTTTTTGGTCCCATATAGCCTCAGAAACTCTGTACATGATTGCAATAAGTTGGAATCAACTAGATGGCAGTGAGTTAAGTTGTTGAGTCAAGTCCTCCCTGTAATTCATTTTTTCCTGTTATCATAGTATATACATATGATTTTCCAAGAACTTTACAGGTGTGTGTGGAGCAAAGTTCAGGCAGTAAGGTATGGTAAATTTAGCCTGCGCTCACTCCTAGCTCTGTCACTTACTAGCTGCTAGCAAGGAAACTTCTGTGGGCCTCTTTTTCCTCATCAGTAAAATGAGGAAATCTGTATTCCCTCATCTGCAAAATCCATGGCAGAAGCAGCCATGAAGATGGAACAAGATGCCAGGTTCAACTACCTGACACAAAGTAAAAGCATGTTAGTTCTCATAGTTAGAACTGTAAGGATATACACAGGATGGCATTTGTTACTTCTGAGTGGTTTTCATCTTCTCCTTTATGCTTAAATCTATTTTTCAAATCTCTTACATGAGCAGATGAGCAGAATAAGTTTTTTAAAAATTAAAGCAATAAAAGGGATCCTGTCTATCAGTTTTTTCTAGAATAGAATCTAAGCTTCTTTTAAGACAAAAACAGTGATATCTCAAAATTTGACAAGCCTCCCTGTAATGCCCTACCTAAGGCAACTGATTGCTTCCTTCACTGAACTAACATGTTTTGAGAGTCTGGTAGGACCCTGTACAACGTGAGATACTATGAAAAGGACTTTGTCTCCCTGGCCTGTGGCTGCTTTCTGCCCCTGCAGACCAAGTTCTCATTAGCTCAAAGACCAGCCTCCCTCCAATCTTTGCTCTTCTTCACTCAGATGACCCATTCCTGCAGAACTCACACCTGCCTCTGCCCCACTTAGCTACAATGACATAATCCTTGTGCATCTCTCCAGTCCTGCATTCAAAAGGGCTTGTTGTTGTTGTGAGGTGCCGTTGAGTCAATTTCGACTCATTGAGACCTTATGCACAGCAGAACGAAACTCTGCCTAGTCCTGCGCCATCCTCAGAATTGGTGTTAAACTTGAGCACATTGCTGCTGCCACCGTGCCAATCCATCTCATTGAGGGTCTTCCTCTTTTTCACTCACCCTCTGCTTTACCTAGCATGATGTCCTTCTCTAGGGATTAGTCTCTCTTGACAATATGTCCAAAGTATGAGGGACAAAGTCCTACCATCTTGGCTTCTAAGGAGTATTCCGGTTGTATTTCTTTCAACATAGATTTGTTTTTTCTTTAGCAGTCCATGGTACTTTTGCTATTCTTCTCTAAAACTCAAATGCACCAATTCTTCTACAGTCTTCCTTATTCATTGTCCAACTTTTACATCAATATGTTCAAAAGTGCTTAATTAATGATAACTGGGTAAAAAGATTACTCACAGAGCTGTGGGCAGGGTTCAGGTAACCAAGTAAGCATGTTGATGCCCTTAGGAATGGGAAACCGCAGGAAGCCATGACTGACCCTAGACCTGAGGGCCATTATTGGAATCTATTGACAGCAGCCCAGGTTGTTTAGTGGATTATGTGTTGGGCTGCTAACCACAAGGTCAGTAACTCAAATCTACAGCTGCTCCATGGGAGAAAGATGAGGCTTTCTGCTTCTGTAAAGATTTATAGCATTGGAAACCCTAAACAGGGTTGCTACGAGTCAGAACTGACTTAACAACATCGAAGACTTAAGGATCCCATATGGCACAATGGTTAAGAGCTAAGCTGCTAACTGAAAGGTTAGTGGTTCAAACCTACTCAGCAGCTCAGAGGGAGAAAGACCTAGAAATCTGTTCCTGTAAAGAATGCAGCCTAAGAACACTTTAGGCGGTTCCACTCTGTGTGGTGCTGTAGGATAAGACTCCTGGTATGGCACTGTATGATCAGCACTGGACTTGGAACCACAAGGCTGACAGTTCAAACTCACCAGCTGCTCCTCAGAAACCCTATACAGGGTTGCTATAAGTTGGAACTGACTCGATGGCACACAACAACAACTCTGTAGGGTTGCTAGGAGTCAAAATCAACAGGACAATATTCGACAACAATAAAACAATAAAACCTGTGAAGAAGAGACCACTTCTCCAGGCTTGTGATCACAGTGAGGTGGTCATTGCCAGACTCTGGCATGGAAGCAGGAAGAGGGTGGAGGAATAAACACTTGGGCCTCTTACCTTCTGCTTTCACACCTCCATTGCCTCCCATTTGGCTGAAACCAAACTCCAGAGAGGAAAGACGTCCAAGCAGACAGTGTGGTATTCTGACTTGGCCCCCCTATAAATTGTCACTAAAGGGAAAAAGTGACAATTTATAGGGGAGCCAAGGCAAAATGTATACCTCATTAAGAGCCTTCTTAAAGAATGGCAGCAATTTTAGGCTTGGGTAGACCAGTGGGTAGATATGGGGAGATATTTTAGTCAGACCTCTTTAAATCAGGCCTCCTAAATTAGTTAGCCTCTAATCCCTGCTGCCTCAGGAAATTGGAAAATGCTCATAAAGAGGCTAAGTTAGCCCATCGAAGCTTCCCATATTTTTTGTTTCATATTTCGTTTTGGTTTGGAACAAATTTGAAGGATGAAGCGTTTGCTTTGCTCAGTACCTAGACTATCTCTAGAACACGTTTATTTTTTATTTTCCTAGTAAGCCTCAAAGGCAGAGACTAGAAGGACATGAAGATGCTCATAAGCAAGGCAAGTATGTTGTTGTTGTTAAGTGCTGTCGAGTTGATTCTGACCCATAGCGACCCTGTGTAGGGTTTCCAAGGAGCAGCTGGTGAGCTTGAACCACAGACCTTGCAGTTCAAATGGCTTTGCAGTCTGGCTCATTAACCCACAGCACCATACCAGGACTCCAAGGCAGGTATGATCAGTTATAAACGTGCACCGCTCTGAAAGACACTTCTTTCCCACACCTCAACTGTGTTTATTTTCAGCCATATGTGCCCTTCACCAAGAAGCAGGGTGCAATGGGTGGGGGGTCAAAAAGGAGGCTATGGGAAAACGGCTCTTGGGTCAAGCTGGGTGGCAGAGAGGGTGTCTGCAGCCCATGGAGACTGGCCTTCCTCCTCTTGAGTTCCCCAGTTTGCTTCCTAACGTCCATTAAGCTGGGTTGTTTGTTGTTAAGTAGCTCATTCGTGGAGACTCCAAGCACAACAGAACAAAACATCACGGGACCCAGGGCTGGCTTCATGAATGCTGGTATCTTAAATCCATTGTTGTGGCCACTGGATTTGAGTGCCTTCTACTCAGTGCTCATTTTTTAGCATTTTATCAGTCAATATTCAATAACCAGTCAATAAAATTTGTGATCCATCAAATTTTCACTGGCTAATTTTCAGAAGTAGATTTCTAGCCTTTCTTCTTAGTCTGTCTTCGACCTGATGGTCAGCTGAAACCTGTCCACCATGTGTGACCCTGCTGGTATTTGATATACTGGTGTCATAGCTTCCAGCATCACAGCAACATGTAAGCACCACAGTAGGACACTCTGACAGATGAGTGGTCAATACTCAGGGTAGCTGAGTCCGTATTCACTCGTTCAAAGTCTCTTCCTGACTCACTCCCTTTGCTGCAGCATAGTTATTTCCTTACTTTAGAAAGAAACTTACTGTCAGCTCAGTACTGGTATTGGCTCCTCCCATTACATACAACTTCATAGGTGCTTTCACACATGTGATCTCACTTAGTCCTCACACCCCTGTCAGGTCCCAAAGCTTTGCTTTTATCCATTGAGGAAAACAAATCTCAGGGGAACAAGATGTCTAAAGCCACATAGCAAGCAGTCCTGTCAGAATTGAGGTCCAGAGCCCTGTTTATCGATCCCCAGCCACATACTCCCAGTCCCCACAATACTCAGTGCTTTCTTCCAGAAAGAAGATCGCAAAGAACTTAAAGGTGGACTGAACTAGTTGTGAGACAACCATGTGTACTGCGGATAAGATGCACCATGGCTGTGATCTCAAGATGATATCCCTGACAACAAAGCAACAGTATTGCCCAGACCCATGGGAGTAGAAACCGCAGGGAGCAGGAAGAAGGAGCTCAGGAATCCGGGCTTTAATAATAAATCCTCCAGATTAAATTGGCACATGCAGTTACAAGTCAGGCTGCTAATCTTGATGTTAGCACTTCGAAACTACCAGTGGTTCCTTGGGAGAAAGATGAGGCTTTATGCTCCTGTAAAGATGTATAGCCTTGGAAACACTGTACAGGGTTGCTATGAGTCGGAACAACTCGACGACACTTAACAACAACCACTACCACCAAAGTTTGGGAACCACTGCACTAGGGAGAAAGGAAAAGTATGTGCAGAGGTGGTAATGATAAGAAGCGTAGAGAATCACTACTAACCCTGGAGAGCACACATATTTGCTATCAGCATGTGGTCACATGATGTTAGTGTATAGTAGTATGGTGTAAGCAAGAAAGGTAATTACTGCTGTACATTCTAAAGATGATGTTGATGGGCACATGAAATGTTCAAGGTAGCATTGCTGGTTAATAGCAAAACACTGGCGTTAACCCCACTGCCCACCAATGAGACTGTTCAAGTGACTTATAATGCATTCACAATCGATATTTGTTATTGTTGTTAGGTGCCATTGAGTCAATACCGACTGACAGCGACCCTATGCACAACAGAACGAAACACCGCCCAATCTTGGGCTAACCTCATAATTGTTGCCATGCTTGGGCCCA